CACTCTTTCTGCCGTCTTTATTAATTGGCAGTTTTGCTCAAATGATAATCGCAAAAGGCAGATAGCCCTGTATTTCATCATTTAGGTGTAAAGTATAACTAGTGAATTCTGAACCTTTAAAAATTGGTTATTTACATGCTTAAACATAATCAGAACATTTCATATTTTAACCATGACAGAAAAGTATATCGCTTGTTAGAGGAAAGGACTGTTACTGCTCAGAGAGCCAGAATCATAGAAAAACACTTTTCTAGATTTAAAAAAAAAAGTTTAGTTATAGTATCCTCTCAGAACCCCGCCTTTTATTGCTTTCCGTAAGCATGACTGAAAAGTGTGTGCAAATGTCTGGTATTTGGCAAGAGGAAAGATAGTATAGGAGTAAAAGGGGGAATGTTAGAATAATCTGTGTCTTGTGCATAAAAGTTATGCTCTGGAGTTTCTATTAGAACCGTGAGAGCAGAGAAAAAGGATGCGTCCTTGGGTATAACATCTTTTTCTGATTTTAGTTCCTCTGAACGCAGGGGCGTGTGGCTGGTAGCCCCCCTAATTGCTAGGCTGCCGACTTCTGTGCAGGGAAGAGTGTTGAAAGCTGCTGGGGAGGAGCTGGAGAAGGGACAGCACTTGGGTTCTTCTTCAAAAAAGGAAAGAGACAGACAAAAACAGAAAAGGTATGTCTGGAAGATGTGTTTCTATGTGAGAATCTAAAGGACAGTCGAGAAAATCCAGTATTCTACAGATGCACAGGCTCATTGTACTCAGAGTCCATTGAAATTTCATCTTTATATGGAACTGACAACATTCTGTTAGGCAAATCTCAGTTCCTCAAAGATCCCAGATTATAATATTTAGTACACTAGCTCTCAATTCTGCCTGTGTACCCTAGTCACTGCTACACTATTAAAAATACTGACTTCAGACCTGCTGAATCAAATCTGGATATCCACTTAGTCCCTGTACTCAACAGTTCTTTTGTTGTTGTTGTTTTTCTTGTTATTTAGGTACTTATGCTTCAATTTCATAGAATAATTTATGATTCTGTCATGCTGGACCCTGAAATAGTTACTGATCTTTTTAACATTTAGGACTCTTGTTCTAGACTAGATATTAACTTATAAGCCTCCAAGTTGAATGTTTTTTAAATTTTATGCCCTAGAAAAGGTTTCAAGTAATTTTATTGGAAAACTGACCATGTTACTGAGAAGGAACATAAGCACACTCTGATGTGAAACCATGATGAATTTAGTGCCCCGGGAGTAAAAGGAAATTCCTAACACTGAAAAACAAGAATTCTGAACATACAGGTTTCTTGCCCCCTAATCAGTAATATTTTTTAGTAGCTGCCATTTACTGAGCCCTTATGAAATGCCAACCTCTGTGTAAAACTCATTATACACATACGTGAAAATCTCACAGCAATCATATGTGATAGGTGCTCTCATTATATCCTTTTTAAAAGATGAAGAAACAGAGGCACTGAAAGGTTAAGTAAATTTCTCAAAGACACACAGCTAAGGAGGTGTAAAGCTGGCGTTGAAACCCAGGTGGTCTGGCCTCTGAGTCTGCGCTCTCCTTTCTTGATACCTTTTGGTGTTGACCTAGCTTTGCGTGTATGCTGTTTGGTTGTTTTGTCATCTTTGCCAGTATTTATTAATCAACCAGATGGCTCAGTTTTAATTCTCAAAGTCGATTTGCTAATGGGTGATGGCATGTACATTGCCACACTTCCCACAGGGAGCAGAGATGGTGTGTCAGAGTTTGAAGATGGCTCTTCCCAAGTGAGTCTCTCTCAGCTCTGCCGGTGTAAGATGAAGCAGATTGAAATATTTTGACCTCGATCTCATTTTAAGAAATTTTCCTTTCCGGTGTGGCAAAGTTAGTTTGTCAGTATGCTTTGTCAGTTGTTCCTGGTCATGGAAGAAATAATGCTAAAATGACAATTTAAAATGGATTTTTTTTATCAGATGTCTTAAAACCACTTTACAAGTCAAGCCTGTGGGATGTGGCAGAGCTGTGCACTAGCTCACTAGCAAGCATTCTGGTTTTGGAGTCCTCAGACCTCAGTGCGCATCTTACTTAGCCCTACCCATACCCAGCTATTTGGTCTTGAGAAATGTGCTGAAAAACAAAGCAAGCAGAACAATTGTATAGGCCTATTTCCTGGACCCTAAAATACGAATATTGTGTAAGAGAAGTTTAAAATTCTTTTCATTTTATTCTGTGTATAAAGTGATATCCCTCCTGATGTGTACCTTTAAATTCACATTCTGTTCTCCCTGGACCCCCCGACACACTCGTATGCAGTACGAATTTATGCTAGTTTGCGGATTCCTTCGAGGACAAGAGAGCATATTAAATTATTTAGAAGTGTTGCAGTGACTTTTAACCATATTAGTTAGAGATATGATTTAACTTTTCAAGTAGTCCTGGCTATTTACTACTCCCCTCCCTTTTGTAACAGTAAAATAAATAAGAGCCAATAACCCGAGGGCAAGACATCAACGTTGCACATGAAGTAATCCTTTCTTTCTAACTAGATCTGCTGTTATTACTTCCTTTGTAGTATGTCTCTTTTGAGTCAACAACCATTCCTCTCACTGGTCCTTACCTGCCTTAAGGGACAGGATGAACAACGAGAAGGCCTCCTAACATCTCTGCAGAATCAAGTTAACCAGGTAAAGTACAGTAGAATATTGAGCCAGGCAGGTATTTTCCTAATGGCATTCATTTGTTTTCCTTTCAAATACTGAGCTTAAACTCAAATACTGCCCTTAAAATAAGGGCACGACATGTTTTGATTAGAAGCAGGAAAACACCATCCGTGCCCCGTTCTCCTACCTGGCATTCTAGTCACCATGAGTTTAACAATAGTTTAATATTAATTATGTGTTGGGTGAATGTCTGTAGACTATAAAAGTAACATTTTGCAGATTGCACATAATTTTGTCATATCTGCTCCTCTCCTGACCCTGCCTCATGGGAGAGGTCCTGGAGCAATCTGTGTTGCAGGGCACATGGCAGTACGACAAAAGGGACCTCTCTCCAGTTCCTCTGCTGGGCTTCCATGTAGCAGGCAGGGTCTCAGCTTGAGCTATGTAGGTTCAGAAACTCAGTTTTACCGCGCGAGCCAGACGGATGCTGGTCAAGTGCACAAGATACTCATTTATAAATCAGAAGGCATTTTGGTTCATTTACAAAGACTTTGGACTTTGCCTTTCCACCAATCACAGTTCTCCTGGTCACTATTCAGAGCACTTATATTCTGTGTACCACAAGGAAACGGAATGATCAAAGTGGAATTAGAAAGTATAGAATGGAGCAGAGCGGGTAGATTTGTTTATATGGGATGTTTTATCCTGCGGTAGCATCTAATGGAGACCTCCCGTGGGGCTGTGATTCTGTGACACTGTGTCTTCTTGTACGGTACTAGATGAACATGAACAAGACACTTAACTCATTTGGTCCTCTTGTCATCCTCTACCTTTTGGATATGTGAGACTTATTCTCTAGACAGCAGCCAGAGTGATCCTTTTTAAGTGTAAACCACATATTTTTCCAGTGCCCAAAATGCTGCAGTGTTTCTTACTGTACCTAGAATAAAACCTCCCGGTCTAGGCTTATGTGGCCCTCCATGATTGGGCACTGGCTCCCACCTCTACCTTGTTTCCTGCCCGTCGTGGCCTTGCTCCCTCCATTCTTATGGCAGAGCCGTTGCGTGTTTTCTCCCCTTCCCTGGAAGTTATTAGCATGGCCGGTCCCTCACTTCCTCAGGTCTCTGCTCAGATGTCACCTCCTTAGTCCTCCCCCCACCTTCTCCCCCGCAATCACTCTCTAAAAGTAGGACCACAGTCATTCTCTATCCCCTTGCCCTGGTTCATACCACTTGTTCCACTTATTTTTATTTGTCCTGCTATCAGAATGTCAGCTCCATGACAGCTTGTGTGTTTTGTTAACTGCCTTGTACCCTTCACCTGCCTTGGGGGAGGTTCATCCATATCTTTCTTTTTTTTTTTTTTAACATCTTTATTGGGGTATAATTGCTTTCCAGTGGTGTGTTAGTTTCTGCTTTATAACAAAGTGAATCAGTTACACATATACATATGTTCCCATATCTTTTGATGATATTTGGGAAGTGCTCTCCTTTTACCATGAGGTGTACTTACAAGTCATCTCTTGGGCTCAGTTACTTCTGCATATGACTCATTTCAGCTCTTTTGAGATGATTCTCATTAGGTGCCCTATTTCAGAGCATGGCAGTGTGGGTTTGTTTGGGTTTTCTTCGCTTATATCATCTGATTCTGGGTGTTCCCCACTTGTGGTTTGCCTTCACTAAGCAACCCTTCCCTTCCCAACATTTGTCTGAATCAGTGAGAAAGCAGTTACTTAATAAATTGATATGCCACTGATGTCCAAGATGTCATATTTTTCAGAATAGGTTACAATATCTTTACCAAGGAAGACAAGTTTATAAACTAGCAAGCCTTCAGTGAAACATCAGAATAATACTTTTGCTGGGATTCACAGCATGTCCCTAGAAATATAGGACAAGACTGATATAAAATGTAATTCTATCTGTCTTTATACTTATCTTTATAAGACCAGTTTAATGATGCATTTTAAAAATAATCTTTATTTTTGTTAATGCTTAACTTGATGACCCTCTACAGCATTTTCTAAGACTTAGTAACAGGATCTGTAATTAGATAAGATTTTTCTTAACAGGGTATGTAATTAGATACCAAACAAAGAAATAGCCAGATTTCTGTCTGCGTGGAGGAAGGGGAGGAAAGCAAAATTTTATTTTCCCCTTGGTTTTTAACTTATTAAACTAAGAAGTTGTTTTTGACTGTCAGTAAAAAAGCTCAATTTAACTTTAAATGTGAGAAAAATCAAATTTAACAGGGAAAACAAATTTTGGGGGTTGTTTTCATTCATTTTCTGATTTAGATTTTAAGTAATTGGAGAGAAGAGAGGTACCAGGATGACATAAAAGCACGACAGATGATGCACGAGGCATTGCAGCTCCGCCTAAATTTGGTAAGAGACGCTTCTAGTGTTTTCCCTTCATTACACGTATCTAAATGTGAAACTAACGCCAGCTTTCCACTCCTGCTGTGGTCACAGTTTCCATTACAAGGTGAGGCCTGCTGTTTGCTCTCTCTACTGCTTCCTTGTCTCTCAAACCTTCTGTTGTCCTGGCCACTGTCCTTTCTGTCTGGTCTGGCTTCTGGACAGCAGTAGGTATTTTAGGCATTGGCTTGCCTTCTGCACCTCACCCCCAGTGAATCTCTCTCTCTTTTCCATTTGTGCCAAGAGTAGGTCTTAGAGATCTACTAATTTGAGATGTGTTAGCTTTTACCATACTTGCTTAAAAACTGTATTATCCTTTAAGGCAAAATTTTATCAAACTTTCCATCAAATTGGTCATAAAGACAAATCCCCACAGGGAGGTTTTATAGAAATTTTAAAATCCTTGCCCACTGCACATTCCTTTGACTTTTCCTTTCCTCAGTGTACAGCCCAGATAAAAGCTACTCTGGAAGATGGCTTGCCTGATATTTGATATTAATTCCCACGCGTGAACAAGCAGTCCTGGGGGCTTGTCTCTACTTCTCTGTTACTGGGTATTTCCAAGTGTTATTATGACAACAGGCTTAGATTCAATAGTAACTGACAACACAAAGTTGTAGATAATTGAGTCACGCGGTTTTGATCTATTCAGCTTTAATTAGATGAAAATCACGTCATGAAACTGGATATCATGAAATTTAGGAACAAAAGAAAGCTAATTGTACTAGTGTAATTCATGTTGATGACATGTCTGCACTAGAGTACCCCTTTCTTTTTTTTTTTTTTTTTTTTTTT